CACACCAGTACTGCACCGCGAGTGATGACGCGCCCATCGCGGCGCGGCCTTGACAACTGTCGACTGTCGACGCGGCGCCGGCCGGCGGCCGTCGTAATCGTCGTTCCCGACACGGGCGTTGAGCCGCCAGAGGGCGCGAGAAGCAGCCACAACAGGGGCAGTGGGTTAGCCGTAATTGGGGCGCGGGCGGTAGGTGAAGGTCACGTATAGGAGTCTGGTTAGTTGCGGAAAGTTGCAACGGGATAAGAACGTAGACAGTTAAATATGATATGCTATATGATATCTAGGACTGCACTTCGTTTGATGCGCATTGTTTACTGCTAATAGGATGATTTAAATTAGATTCCCTATGAAAGGCTAGGGACCCTATGACAATATTCTGGCACTCTATAAAGATAATTTGTTTAGGTAACTAGTAGCCCATCAGAAGCTATCGAACGAGTTTCAAGGAGGCATTTCCGTTTGAGCATTCAGTAATTCACTATGGTACGGTGGATCACAACCAGACGGCAGATCGATGCGTGTTAATTGGTTCTAGATCATATGTCTGATTAAATCAAGAGCGGTTCAAGGTCTGCTAGGATTGTATACGAGAACTGATGATAAGGTTCACGCGTGTAGCAGCAATTAGGACTTGAGATTACGATTAGATTTGGTTAAATTATGCGTTTCTGCTATTCGCGTTCTTGCGAGTTAGCGCCAATAATTACTCCAACAATATTGGCACAGGGCATTGTGAGGCACAGACGGCTTGTTTGCCCGCCTCCTATGGCGTAACGTTTACCAGCATGACTGTATGAGACACAGATGCACTTCTCGAAACCCACGTCCAGACCGGAATAATAAGAGGGACACACCGTCACGTACGCAGGGCATATGCACGTTTTCCGCCAGTGGTACCGGCCACTGTTAATTTTCCCGCTTAGGTAACACTGGGTGAGAAGGCAGTGAGAGGTTTCTACGGCAGGGGGGAAGGGGAAGATTGGCACAGTATGCAGTGGAGAGTAAGTTATGCCAAAGGCAAGAAGCCGAAGGTCAGGGGTGAGTCACCCAAAGGGCGGATAAGGCGAGCCGTAGTGTCCCGGATAAGTCCTCATACTTATTTCGTAAAGGTACTCTAATCGGTACTGGACAGCCTCAGGGGAGGGAAGAATGTACTCCAGGACACGTAAGGCCTTGAATAGTAAATCCCATGGTTAAGGATAGTTCCAGGATATGAACTAGGGTCCCTGGGTCGTGAACGGGAATGTTACACGCGGACCGGAAGAGGGCATAGGTAATCTCTCCCGGTAGAGAGATAAGTCGGATATAAATCGTGTATGTGTGTACCATAAGTCTATCGGTCGTGTAGTGAATCCCATAAATTAGTAGGGTGGATATTTATGCAATTATTCTGGACGGCCCTGCGGTAAGTATCTTTGTCGCCGGTTAGCGGAGCATGCATATGGATTTCGGAAAGAGACATTTATCTCGCCGGGGAGATCGCTATTAGTCAGGCACCTAACGCCATCGGAGGGAATTCGAGGGGCGCTAAATAAATTTGGGGTGAATATATGACGAACGAACGTAGAGAGAGGATGAGAGTGAGAATGGTAAAGGATGAATCTTAGGATAAGGCCGATGGGAGTTTAGCGAAGCTCAGTTAGGACAGTCAAACTAATTAATCTCGAGGGCAACTTAAAACTAGCAACGCTAATACGAATTAAGTGGGCAATTTTCTTAATGGGAAGGCCAGTGATATAGGAATGGGTGACTGGACGAATGATCACATTCAATTTATCAATGTAATTACCACCCATATGTTTGGCAGTGGTCATCGGGACTTCGAATGCCCTGTCCTTCACCTGCCCAACTGTGCCGCAAACCCAGCTGATCGGATACCTCTATCCCTAATCCGAGCAGTGAAGAAGCATCTCGTGCATCATGGTCTATACAATGAACAGAATCATCAAGCCTCTAAATTAAAAAGCATCTTCCATCAGATGTATTTGTATGCAAGGTGGATCTCTAGACATCTCCCTCAGGTGGATCTCAACACCATCTCAAGATCTCTATCAGGTGGATCTATATCTACATCTATCTCAGGATCTCATCACTATCTGGATCTCTCTCTAGATCTATCTCGGGATCTTTTCCAAGACTCTCAAGCTCCCCTGTTCTACCAGTTCAACTATCGAGTTCCTTCCAGCAGCGAATCTCTTTTCTGCTACACCGCCGAACAGCAGTGGACCGCGCTGTTTGATGAACCTCAAGATGCAGCTTTTTTATTTCTGTACTTTTCCTTCCCTTCATTCCCTTGCTACATATGCCTGGAGTGTACTGGTTCTTTGCAGCCATGCACGTGGCTATGCTCGTTTTTGCTAAATTTTTCGTGCCTCAAACACGTGGAAAGACCATTGAAGAGATTCAAAAAATGTTTGAGAAAGATGATGATGTTGGCCAGACTGTAACTACTGGGCAATAATGACCTGCTGCTTGTCATGAAATAAATAGACACATTTTGACAGGATTTTGACGAACTATCCCCAATCCACATTATACCATTGTAACACTAAAAAAGAAATGCTGCGCATATTACCTACGTTTGATGCAGGTGTCCTAGAAATACTTTAGATATTTGTAGCTGCTGAGACTAATTAACGATTTTCGCAGCCAGGTGAAAGAAATGAAACCTTGAAACTCCAACGAGCGGAAAGGTACAAAAGATATTTCTATGGAATTGCGTCCCATGGCTGATCTGCTCTGATCATATGGTCTTACGTAACCCGCTTATCTGGACAAGTATGAGCATACCTTCAGATTCATTGCACGTCTATGTGACAGCACGTTTCTGTTCCGTTCAGAGCCCTCACATGCGGCCTCACGTGGGGCCTCAGGTGCGACCTCGCTGCTGGCTTCCAGGCAGAATAAACTGCAGCAGAGAGAAACGTCAAAGCATTGCTGGCACGCCGAGCAGATTATTTATAGCGATAAGGTGTTCACTAAAAATTGACACAAACTTTGAATAACTACACATCAAAAGCGAAGCAAGCTATTTCGGTGCAACTTACCATAGAGATAAAAGGAACTTTTCTCATTATATCGAGCATAAAATTTTACGGATATAATTAAAACGGTCGCGTAGGAGGTCGCTTTAAATAAGGACCACCGAAAGCCCATTGGCAGACTTTCCCAAAATAGTGCGTCAATAGGAGAGTCTCGCACGTACAAATACCTAATGAAAACTTACAATGTCGAAGTTAGTTACATACCGCATGGTGGAAAGAAAGTTCTATGTGGGTTTGGGAGTCCGAAAAGCTGAAGTGGTGTAATTGTGAAAATATTGACCTGAGGAAGGGTCGGGGCCCCGAAAATGCACGTGGAGGGGCTTTTTGGCACCTCACGGCGCAATGCTGCTGATCAGTAAGGTATCAGCTGTACCAACACGAAGAATATATAACACACCTGAGGCTAGGCTGAATACCAAACGACGTAAATGATTTCTCGAAGCGACTGGAAACAGCAATAGGCAATAGACGTAAATATGCAATGGTCAAGAAATGCCAAAAATTTCATAACAAGGTCGAACTATTTAAAGGGACCCTCCCACCTTCAAAAAAGTTTATGAATTGGCATGAATGTGATGTCGCTCGGTTCAGAAAGAGCGAAAACGAATATCTACCAAATTTCACCGAAAAATGTTCACCGGTTTTCAAGATATTAGACTTTTACTTTTGCTTACTTTTTGGGATCTCCGCTGTTCCTAGCGACTTTATTTGGAAGCAATAATTTGGCAGCTGAAAGTGCGGCACTTGTTGCGCGCAAAGCAGCATATACCACCGCATGCTACAAAACGTTTTAGTCAAACATTTAAAAATCGTTAGATATCTGCGCTGACGTCACACATTCAGAGGGGTATTCCTATGCATTAGCCCCTCTGAATGAAAATGCTGCAATTTTGAAATTCAATATTTCCGATTTAAGGCATTTCTCGATGTTGTGAGTGCCGAAACCGGTAATTGTGAGCCAGGGACCCCATTTTGGCTATCTCAACTCAAATCTAATGTTAAGGTGGGAGGGTCCCTTTAAGGAATAAAAATTATATTTTTAGTTAAAGGGCGACAATTAGCTAGACAATGGAGTGTTCTGTAGTGATGCTATCGATGACGTAAGAGCTAACGTCCATTTAAATGTCGGTATGCAAACTAACGCTGAATGCTATGGTGTATCTATGTGTTATTTCAGAACATATCATCAGTTCGACTTCATTCCTCCAGGCTGGTCCATATAATATGATACTTTCGGAGCCAAATGTATTATTTAGTACTAGAGGTTCATGCAGAACAACATATGTAACCAGAAGGTGATCTTCTGGTCCGACCTCGCTCCAGCACACTAACCAAAGGGCGCCTTGCGCACCCCGGCCGATGTAAAAATTCCATTTGTAACGAGGCCAAATAAGCCGTTCGCCACGCCTGAAATTTAAGAAATGAGTATTAAATGTGTTTTGCCGAAAGCTATAACGTTTGTTGGTGTCTTTAGATTTCAAAGAAAATATCAACTGGTAGCTCGTTACCGCCATGAATTGGCCAAATTCACGGTCCACTGGTACCAGAGCATGTGAAAACACTTCCAAGCAAATGTCCAAAAAGAGACCTATGGGGATCAGGCAAATTTGTTGACGATCTACAGCTTGCAGCAGGTGCAATGCGCTTTACAGCTTTACAATAATGCCTCGGTTGTTTAAATCGGTACATTTTACCGATGATACAGTCTGCTAAACTTTGCCTCAATTTCTAGTGAACACATATTAGACCAAATAAATCAGTTGATTGGGATTTCATTTGCTGTTAAGCATTAACCAAGCAACTTGTCATCAGACCATGAAATTACTTTTATTGTGAATGTCGGTCATATGCTCGACTAAAGTCATAACATGAATTACCTAACTATAAGATAAGAAGAGTTTATGTACATGCTTGGTTGAAATGCAGGAATTCTTAATTTTCATACAGGGATCGTAATTTTTGCACTGTATATTGAAAACATAGGTAGGTACCAGTGATTCTACCAACTATGCGGACGATGACGCTCAGCAATGAAACCACATCAAAATGCATCGCAATGCATACCTACCTATCGGTTGGCCTCATAGTAAAACGTTATCGGCCTGCACGGCGCACGCACATACACTTTGGTACACAGCATATTGGTGTTACAGGCGGGAATATTTAGTTTCTTATGCATTGACACTATATGCATCATACGATATCTATGTCATCACCGAAGATATGTTGTTGAGTGCTCTCGCGAGGAACATCTTGTTTTAATATTTTAGAATGATTGTTAACCCGCGCCCCGTAGGGGGGGGCCGAAACGGCCCCCCCCTGTCCTTTTCGGTCGATATCTCCTAAACGGCTGGAGATATCGCCACCAAACTTTCAGGACCCCTCCGGGCATCAATTTTACACATTGTGACCAAAAAATTTTCCAGAGGCTATGATAGGTTGGCCACTAATGACGTCAGAGTGACGTCATGTTCTGTCATTTTCGACCGAAAAAAGACCTTCGCGAGAAGACCTGTCAGGACTACAGCTTTGAAGATACAGAAAAATGATCAAGACATAAAAGGTGTAGAATTGACAGGGCTACAAAACTGCTATCTCGAATTTTTGAAATTTTTGGGTTTTGACCCCCCAAAATCAAAAAAGCATTTTTTTTGGATATATTCACCAAAAAATCCAAAAAGTTTTTTGAGTTTCGAAAAAACCGGAATATATGTGATAGTGCCTACCGTCTTCTATCTACATACCAAATTTCAGATCGATACCTCGTTTTTTGGCCAAGTTATAGCGAAAAAACTGTTCAAAAATGATGACGTCAAATTTTCAAACTCAATTTTTGGCAATTCTAGAACTCGTAGAGCAAAACAAAGACCACCATTAGACTCCCCGTGACGAGCTGCATCGAATTGATACCCATTTTATGCAAAAATATCAACTTTGAAATTTGACCTAATTTGACCTGACCTTGACCTGACCTTCACAAAAACGTGACCTAGGCTGGCCCCAAAGGCTGCCTAACCCACATAATCGCATTTGTCATGTAAAATGGACCATAAAACATGTATCACACGATACATTCATATTGTGACCCCCGGTGACCTGACCTCGCTGTGACCTGACCTGGTATCAGTGACCTCAGATAGCAAAGTATGTGTTTGACGAACAATGTACCATCGATGGTTTTCAATAAATTACCAATTTAGTCGCTTTCACAGCACATTTCTTGAATTGCCTGTGAACGGTGAAAATCTGACCTTTGACCTGACCTGTGACGTCATCGGTTTGACCTAGGTCAATGAAATTTGGTCACAAGGTAGTTCCCGGGTGGGGCTATCGAACGCCGTTTGAATTTTGAAAATCGGCCGGTAACTTTCCGAGATCTTAGGGGGGGCCGAAACGGCCCCCCCCCTACGGGTGGTAGGGTCCGCCGGTAGCCCTACGGGGCGCGGGTTAATGACCTTTTCCTCGAATAATAAAATGCTATGACGAAAGTGATATATAGTTCAGTGAATTTTCGTCCATAGGGCATCATCAGACAAGCAATTAGCAAACATACCCAAATCATATACCTTTTCGACATTTAAACATTTCATTATTCGAGGAAAAGGTTATTAACAATCATTCTATGTCATCACACTCGACCACAACATAAGACACCATGAAACAGCACAGCGAAATATAACTTCGCTTTTTGCAGCCATAGCGCTACATTTATAAGGGCTGCTACAAAAAGTGCTATTTGAGTTAAGGCAACACAACCCTTCAGCATTTATCATGCGAAGAGTTACCGATACACGTGTAATTTTACTTCACTTACGAAGTAAAAGTTAGTGAACAAGCTTACGAAGACCCAGACTGCTTGGCAGAATCGGAATCATGAATAGGGAATGTCTGGTAAGTCAAACTCCCTCGCTTGTCCTTAAGGTGCACATGGATTGGATCACTGGCACAGTTGGTAACGTTCTTTACAAATATTTTCTGCACTTCCTCTATGGACTTCCCACGTGTATGAGGTAAGCACACTTTAGCAAAAACAAACAACAAAAAGTGCATAACAGTGAAAAACCAATAAACACCTGACATATCCACAGCGGCGACGGCGAGCGGGAAGGTGTACACCATGATGAAGTTGATGGTGCCAAAGAAGGTCAGCAGGATCCCTCCGGCCTCGGCGCGGATGGCGTTGGGCAGCAGCTCGGTCAGCAGAAGGTTGGTCAGCGGCGCGATTCCCAGCGACATGGCGCTCACGATCACCAGCACTGAGACCAGCTGCACCCAGGCATAGTCGGCCAGCGCGGCGCTGTAGTGGAAGAAGAAGCCGCTGACGAGGCAGGCCGCGCCGCCAACCACGCCGTTAATCATCAGTGACGTTCTGCGCTCGCTCTTTTGCACGATGTAGCTCATCATGATGGAAGTTATCACTCTGAGGGCGCCCACCAAAATCGACCCGATGTACGGGTTGCTGAAGCCACCAACATCTTTGAAAACTACCGGAGCGAATGACGCTGTGGTAAATCCTCCGGAAAACACAAACAGTACGTACATGCAGAGCATCAGACAGAAGGGCACCAGATAGTGTCTGTGTCTGAGAAGTTGCAGCACCTCGAACAGAGACGCGTCGTGCCGGTGTTCCTCTCCGAGCGACTCCCTGATTTTCTGTATCTGCTGATCGACGTCATAGTCCTTGCCATGGTAGAAACGGAGCGAGCGTTGTGCCTCCTCCACCGGATGCCCTTTTGAGATGAGCCATTTGGCGGAGCGAGGAAGCATGAGCGAGACTAGGAACATTACAACGACGGGCCCGATGCCCACTACTAGACACGTATGTCGCCAGCCAAGCTTCCAGCCACACAAGAAAGTAATGAGCATACCAAAACTTAACATTAGGTTGAAGAACAATGCAAGCACTCCGCGAATGTTTACTGACGAGATTTCACCAATATATGTGATGGTGGGCCCAAAGACAATGCCCACAGCTAGGCCTGTCAGGGTGCGGCCGGCCAGCATGGTCCAAAAATCGCCTCCCAGAGCCAGCAGCAGCCAGCCGCCGGCCAGGGCCGGGGCGCACAGCTGCACGAGGCGGATGGTGCCCAGCCGCGGGTTGACGTAGCTGGACACCAGGCAGCCCAGCGTGTTGCCGATGGCGTAACCGGAGGCCACCCAGGAGATCTGCGAGCGGGTGAGCGGCAGGACACCCTGGTCGGCTGTCATCTGCTCTGTGAACACGCCCGTGAACGCCAGGCTGCCGCCTATGCTGAACCCGGTCACGGAGAGGGACAGCGCAGTCACAACCTGTCGGCAAAACGACACGGCGCTCACTCATCTGAGACAGGACTCAGAGTGATGATGCAATATGACATACTCAGTGAGTGAGAATAATGCGATTTATCTATGCTGGTACAATGATAACAACATGCCTATCACATCTGAAACATCGCGTAGAAGACGAGATCAAGCTTGAGTCAGTCGCCAACTTTCGCAACATTCTATACACACGTCCGGGAAGACGTACTCGTAAGCCAGGAATGACTGTCGAATAGCGCAGCTTTACGGCTAAGCGACCTACATCAATTTTCACAATGAAACATTTTTGATCTGTAAAAATGGGTAAACAATGCACATTTAATGACGATGTATGTGTACAGTATAACGCGACACGTGTTACTTCCTCTCTAGACTCGGCAGGCAGGACCCGCTCCCACCTGCATCACGAGGCCGCGCCTCGAGTCCTTCCACTGGTCTCCGCACTTGGCCTCCCCGCTTCCATCGGCCGCGCTGCTCATGTTTTAGCACCAGCAGCGTCTGTACGCGTCTGCACTGCGTATCTCACTCAGGGCAGCGTACACAGCACCAACTCTGTCGGTGACAACCTCGTGACTCCCAAGTCAGCCGACGGAGCCGTGTAAACAAATCGGAGCGGCCGCCTGACTAAAATAGTCTGGGGCGGGGGTCGGGCGCGGGGTGCCACCGGGCTCCTCCTCTCCCGAAAGCTGACACCGACTGCTCACACCGCGGTATCGGCCGAGAACGAGGGGCTGGCTGATGTGTGCCAGGTCACACCGTACCCTATTGTTCACAGCGCCTGGGGTAACCAACGGGCTGGGGACGGGGTGCGGAGGCCAATGACAATGCGATTGGGCCCAGCGACAGAAGATCCGAAATCGAGACACGTTTTGAAATTGATAATGGCATCGGGCCAAAAATAGCAACCAAAAAGACTCAGACGTGCCGTGTATATACATATATCATTGGTGGGAATCCAGCTTGGGGTAGTTCCACAGTGTGACACAAGCCACTCACTTCTGATAAAGATTCTGTAAATTGATGGACTACAAATGCAAGTCACAATGCCAGTGGAATTGCACTCCTCTGATAATGACGTTCCATCGATACCATCCATCGGTACCGTCGACGGGTGATCCAGCAGCACCGTCCCACTAGCAGTACCGGTAGACTAACCCCACCAGCAGCACCAACCCCACCAGCAGCGGACCGACAGACTGACCCCACCAGCAGCACCGTCCCACTAGCAGTACCGGTAGACTGACCCCACCGCAGCACCAACCCCACCAGCAGCGGACCGGCGCGATTGACCCCACCAGCAGCACCTTCCCACTAGCAGTACCGGTAGACTGACCCCACCAGCAGCACCAACCCCACCAGCAGCGGACCGGCTCAGCTCCGCAGAATTGGCGCCGGTCCGCGGCGGCCGATCGCACGGTCGGTCAGCCCGCGCTGGCAGCCGCTTCTCTATGGAAATGGCCGGTTTAGAGGCGGCAGGTGGTCGAACACATTGCTCGCGCTGCTCAGCGCGCCACGCCGACGGTTACGGCTGATAAAACGGCCGCCGCGCCCCGGAGGACCTCACACCGATCGTGGACGAGTCGCCTACACGAGACGCGGTAACGCAAGAATGGCGATGGAGTTTGGGAAGGAGCGCAGGGAAAACTGTCATTATAGAAGGACATCGACCGCATTTTACTGTAGCTAAAGGCTGCTCCGTATTTTTCAGAGAGCTACGTAGTACGTACTCCTGGTGAATATGGTAAGCTGGGCACTTTTTTGATGCATTATCTTTCCATCCAGCGTTCTGCCATAAGCAGCAGTAATTCAGTAGGGACTGGGGGTTAGTTCCACTCTCCAGGTAGGGCAGCGAGGCAGTGACAGTCTGTTTGCTCGGCGCCGATTGCTGTTTGCACCGGGTCGGCGGTCGACGCGGTAAGGGCTCTCAGCGCCGACCGGACGCCCAGAAATCTCACCGGGGGGGGGGGGGGGGGGGGGGGGCGCGGTGAGGGCGCTCCACCGCCGCGCTGTTGGCCCCAAACAGAGCCGGGGCCAGGACCGTCCGCCTCCTGCTCATTGATCAGCTCATACTGGGAGGTGTGCCGGTCATTAGTCTCCACGGCTGGCGTGGTAACGACAAGGCGACGGGCGAACCCCAATGAGCCGGGGGCTGCACACAAATGTAAGGCCATATGTAGCGTGCATATGTCATACCGCGCATGCCTATAGTAATTCGACTGCGCATTGCGCACGTCAGAGGAGCGACGCAGCGCGGTGTCGTGGCGGCTGCGCCTGGGGTTCCGCCACACTGGGTGGCTGCGGCCGCGGTGAAATTGTAACTGCGCTCTTCGATAACTGAGGTAGAACGAATACTCTGTGGTAGCTCTTATTGTATTGTGTATTGCATTGGTTCATCTAAAATGCAACATCACCACACCTACCTTCTTACGGCCATTGTGTTAATGAAAGTTGAAGCACGAATGACCTTTGGTTGACCTTGACACATGAAAGGTCGTTTCCGAATACGATGGATTCGTACCCGCTGATCACGAATCTGGCATATGTTGTCCTCTAAGCCTTCATTTAGAGCCTCTGGATGGCATCATTGTCTTATGTATTGACTTGAATCAGTGAAATAGCCTCTGGCAAGGATACTCTTCTGTGACCTTGACTTTTGAGCAGCCTTGTATCGTAAGATAAACCACAAATAGGGACCTGATAAGCCTCAAAACATTTCAAAACATCTTGAAAGCTAGCTGCACGCCAGATGTACGAAAAGTGCAAAGTTTGAGGTCAATTTTGAGCATGACCCTGACCTTGACTTTTGATGTTGAGCCCATTTCGGAATCCTCAGAATCTCGTTTTTCGTTTGACACCCAATTTTGCCGGTTTTATGCGTCCTGCCGTCCTCTAGAACGCTTACTTTGAGATCACTACACATGTGCCGGTTTTTGCCTTTGACCTTGCCCTCTGACCTTGAAAATTGACCTAAGGTGAAAAATTTTGGGGGCCTTAGAATTGTATTGTATTGTATTGTATTGTATTAAACATCCGTAGAGCATCCGCGATAACCGAGGCTAAATTGTTCAGTGTCAAACGCATGCATAAAACCGAACGAGTGGGGAGGTAGAACAAGCATTCAAAACATGCACACGAGCATCCGCGCTTAGCCCATCACATCGTATGGTATGGTATGGTACAATACCCAATCGTATCGTATGGTATCGCCTTTGTTTGCGTAGCTCCCTTATTTACGGAGTTAGACGGGGGGGGGGGAACGCCCCCCCCCCGGGCTGCAGTGGTTGGAATTACTCCCCAGGCCCGGCCGGGTTCAGGGGGGCGTTTTTGACCTATTCCCCCTAGTCTTGCTGTGGCACTTTTGAAGATTATTAATGTAATTATTAGGTATGTTATTAATAACCTTATGCTCATAAGTAATTATATTCAAAAGAAAAATACAGGTTAACCCTAGAACGCCTAGGGGGGGGGGGGGGTTTGTATCAACCCCCCTGAGGTTTTTTTCGAAGTGCACGCTAAACGGCTTGTCGTAGCGGGCTGAAATTTTCAATACCCTCTGGGGCAACCTTTGCGCATCTTTTGCCGAAAAAAATTGATCGGGTCATGTCAGGTCACGGAGTTATGACGTCATAAGAGGTACAGCCTCCGGCCGACAGTTACCAAACGTGTGCGCCGAATCCCTAGGTTTTCTGCCGGTGATACCCACATTGTTTGATGGATCATGATGAAACTTCCCATGCATGTTGGGGCAAGCATTGGCTATCGTGTGGTGCAAGAAAATTGACCGGGTCAGGTCAGGTCACGGAGTTATGACGTCATAAGAGGTACAGCCTCCGGCCGGATTTTCACGAAGTGTGTACCGAGTCCCGAGGTTTCCTGCTGATGCTATCCACATTGCAGTGGATATCCACTATCTTTTCTGAGTCGTTACCTACAGTATTTATAGCGGAGCAGTGGTCAACAGCCGACGAATCGGGACAAACACCGGAGGGTGATGTGACACCGTATCACTCATCAGCAATAGGCCTCTTACTTTTATAGGGTAAATACACCAAAAACACCATATATGATGCAGAATTGAGTGGGGAATACGTTGTTGAAGGTTTGAAGTTAATATCTCTCACCGTTTTGCCGCAATCGTTGCGCAAAGTTGAAAAAGTTTGATTTTTCGGAAAATTTGACCTTTGACCGGTCATAAGTAGGTCAAATGTTGACCTAGGACCAAAAAATATACCACCAATCGCGAGATCTCGTTGAGAGCAATCCGTTGTTTTTTTTTCCGCTAAGCTCTACGACCTTCCGTTTCGAAACGCCAGGGGGGGGGGTCGTAACAACCCCCCCCTGGTCGTTCGTGTTATGAGAAATGGCCTGGTCGTGCGAGGGTTAACCCTCGCCGGCCGAGGGGGGGGGGGGGCGGGTGCCGCCCCCCCCATAGGGTTTTTTCGCGATAGCTCCGAACACGCTGGCGATAGAGAGCTGAAACTTGGCATACCTGACCTTTGATCCAAGCCGCATCTTTTGACACCAACCGCATTTTTGGGTCAGGTCAGGTCACTGACCTATGACGTCATAAGTGAACCTCTGCACGGTCTTCAGATGTCGCAACTTCGCAACGCCCTCACTGCCAGAGGAGATGTCACAGGGAAATGAAACTTGCAGGATCTAGTATCCATTATGAGTCCCACAACTTGTATATCTCGGATTTTTCCTAAAGGTCATATGAGGTCAGGTCATTTTCGTGACCTCACCATTATAAATCAATGGGGAAAAATGAAAACTGCTATTCTGGCGCCGGGAACGATCTCCAACTATCTCAAGCACACAGAATCGTGATTTTATGCACTCCTTGCAAGGTTAGATGCGTCACTTTTGCAATGTTGACCTTGCGTGACGTCATTTATGACGTCATCAAGGTCATATTTGTTTTTCGTCAATAACTCTTGATCAAATTGAGCTAGCGAGTCGGAAAAGCCACCAATGGACTCAGGAAGACCTGCCGAATCGAATGATATGCGACATGACCTCTTTCGACCAACTTCGTGACCTGGGGGTGCTGACCTGACCTTGACCTGAGGTCAACACCCCAAGTTGACCTGACCCGGACAAAAAGTATACCATTCGACGCGCCTGAGCGAGACGAACACGATGCTGCCAAAATCGGCGCTCTGCGGCCGTTTTTTGCGAAGTTATTCACCAAAAACTGAACCGTACCTTGGGGCACTTGACCTGACCTCAGAGGTCACCGGTTGACCTAGGACCTTAAAATCGGGTACCAATCTCTGCGTCTCGTAACGGCGCACACGCTCGTTTTTTCCGCGACGCGCTAGCTCCACCAGGGGCGAAACGGCGAGGGGGGGGGGTCGTACCCGCCCCCCCCCCCTCGGCCGGCGCGTATGTAGAAAACCAATAGGTCCGGCGAGGGTTAATATATTTCGACTTGCACCTTCATCAGAATGCCTAATATGTAGTTTCCTGCATTCTGTCTAAACAGACACAGACCTTCGCACCCCGTAATCGTTCTCTCGGTAGGTATAAGAATATGTGCCACAAAAATGATCGCAAACCAACTACCTAGCATTGTTCTTGATATTCGAGAGTTTTAGGACGCATCGGCGATAAAGGCCATTTGGATGGTATTCAAGGGAAATGGGTAACCCTCTTAGCCAGATGTTTTGGCTTGCCAGCGGCTCATTCCTAAATCCCGAGAGTTACACATATGTCGAGCCCTCGGCCCACTTGTGATTTTTCATCATCGATGATACCTATCTACCTACATTCAGGAATGCCACAAGTGTTACAGTTGACATTCTTGAAATTCTGGCAATAATGAGCTGTCAATGATAAGTTTTTAGGTCACCAACGCGAATTCACGATTCCATTCGCTGTGAGTTTCTTATGTTGAAATGCCACCTTTTTAAATAGGCAGTACCTACTTAATCGTTACCTATATAGGCATAGAGTTTAACGATTTTCCAGCCCAAACACCAGGCACATGATGCCAATTCATGCCGTGTGATACCGTTATATACTGCATTAACGTATGAATTTATCGATGATTTATGTTAATGCAACGAGTGTTGAAAGAATTTGCGGGAGGATTTGCCTTATACAAATAAATGCAGCACACGTTTAGCTGCAGGGGTTAGTGAGGGTGACACAGATTGCTGCAGCGCAGGTGCAAACTCCCCTATGCCGAGTAACCAATGACACCATGAAAGTTGACCGAATTTTCGAGCAGCTAACGGTAGGACGGTTGCACGCGGGCAGTGACCTGGGGCGGAACACCGACCCCCCGTGCCGGAGGCCACCGAGTGACTGCACGGCGGTGACCTGCCCCCAGGCGGCGGACGACACAGATGCTGCACCGATATGGCCCGTAGGGAGCGCCGTGGGTGGCGCACACTGCCCCCATGACCCGGTCGCTATGCCGGCGGCACATTGCCTTAAATAGCAGACTGGGCTGCAAATCGGCAGTCATCCAAAGCCAGAGGTCCGGCCATGACACCAGGAAGCTGCTCACTGCCGGCGCTGGCGCTCTGTGCGGCACTGCTGCTCGTCGGCACGGAAGGACACGTTCGAGGGATCGACTCATCCGACACCGGCGGCCAGCAGGGAGGTACAGAGTCGAGGATCAACGCCAAGAGCCTGATGACGCTCATTAGAATGCTGGTCACCAGGAACGACGTTGGAGCCGATGTAGAAGGTCAGTCGAAAGGAATGCTGTCAAGAATCCCAAAGGAAATGACTTCATTCTGGTCAGATCGCGCCGCCATCAAGCGCAGCGACGACAAAACAGAACAGGATTTGTATCCACTAGCGCCGACAGTCCAAAAACGCACGCAAGGCTCCGATCAATACACGGATGAAAATGGTGAGCATCTAAGCCCAACCGACTTCTCCAACGCCGCAAAAATATCCAACGAAATTGACGAACGCCCTGAGGGGGCAGCAGATCCGACAGAAAACCATGATATAAAAGATGCCGACTTTTTTGAAGGAGATATCGTGCATGGTCATCCTGAGAGGCAGGGTCGCAATATGATCAGGGACGATGACCAAAAGTGGCTGCGCGGTGAAATTCCGTACGTTATCGCCTCAGGATTTAACACTGACGAGCGAGCCACGATTGCCAAGGCCGTGCTCGAGTTTGAGCGCAACACATGTATCCGTGTGCGGCCGCTGGGTCCGACCGACGACGCCAGCCAGGGCTACGTGCGCATCATCAAGGGCGATGGGTGCTACAGCTCCGTGGGACGCCAGGTCTCCAGTCCCGGGCAGGAGCTTTCGCTGGGAAACGGCTGCCTCTTCCCAGGCATTGTCGTGCACGAGTTTATGCATGCCATCGGTTTCTGGCACGAGCAGAGCCGTCCCGACCGCGACAGCCACGTGATGATCCACTACGACAACATCAAGTACGGCAAAGACTACAACTTCAAGAAGTACACCACGAATGAAGTGCAGCTGAAGGGCACCCCCTACGACGTCGGATCCATCATGCACTATGGGCCTTATGCGTTCGCTAGAAACCGTAACCAGCCGACTATATCGGCACTGAAGCAGACCTCTGTGACGATGGGACAGCGGGAGGGACTCTCCCACTACGACATCCAAAAAATAAACACACTCTACGGGTGCAAGGACGTGACCAAACCTCCGCCGCCGATAACCAAACCAGAAAAATGCACCGATAGAAACATGTACTGCAAGGACTGGGCAGCTGCCGGGGAGTGTGGCAAGAACCCTCTCTACATGAACATTTACTGCGCCAAATCTTGCGATAAGTGCTCCGACAAGTCCTGTGAAGATCTCAATGAACTCTGTCCGAAGTGGGCGGAGACCGGCGAATGCGCCGCCACGCCATCCTACATGACACTCTACTGCAAGAAGTCCTGTGACCTGTGCGACGGAAACGGAGGCATGGCCTGCAACAACGTCAACGGCTACTGCGAGGCCTGGGCTGAGATGGGTGAGTGCGACAAGAACCCCGACTACATGCACGGCAGCTGCCGGAAGGCGTGTAAGCTCTGCTAAGGTTACAGGAGGGCAAACGATACACATCAGGGTCTTTTTGATGTGTGCTGTATACTTGCTCAGACATATATAGATCTGCATGTCTACATCTGAGCACTTACACTAGGAAAGCTCATAGATGCGTTATCTGTGGCGTTAACTACCAATTGGGTATTGTTATTGTTCTTGTGTTATTGTAAGAATTGCTCTTGTTCTTGTTCTTGTGATGGGTTTGGGAAGTAGGTGGGAACTAAGCTGTTTTGGTGAGAGTTGCTGCTTTATAGATGAATGAATGCCTTTCTTGTTCGAGAAGGCAGACATGAGGCTGATTTGGCATTCTGACTATATCTATACATTGTTGTGTTGAGTAAGTCGTTTTGTGGAAAGACGTTTTGCTCGAGGCCGACGGTATTGCTTATTGTAATTGCTATTAGCAATACCGTCGATACCGTAAGCAGTGACTTCACTTCAAACTTAAGCTGGTCTGCCTTACCCCACCGGCCACCATCCACTATATTTGCAATGCAAGGCATTGGAACGCGCAGAGGGCCGTTTAAGGGAAGATACAAATATCCGACATGAATTTTACTTTCATTACATGGACTTACAGCCTACAGGTATGAAGGTAACCATAACGACAGGCGACAGCTGCACATGTTGCTATCAATATATGCACTGAGCTCGTATTTATTTTATTTGCCAATCACTGCTGCTTATTCAAGCAAGCTTAGTACACAACGAGCATCGCTCGATACCAGACGAATAAAACACGGATTCGCTCTGTTTAGTACATAAGTAGTCGAAACTCATGGGACATAAACTAGCCGATAATTGATCGTAATTCTCGTCAATTAAATATAAAAGTTAAAATACCTACAAATTGATGAGCCAAAGCTGCGATGGCGGCGGACAGTCCGTTCCCCGGAGCGGCTCCTAGAGCTCACACCTCTGCGTGCGCCAGCTGGGGCGCGTCATATCCGACGTGACAGCCCAGTCCGCAGCAATCCGGCCGGGCGGTCAGCCGAAAACGCGGGACGGACAGCTCAGAGAGGACCGAGGCGGAACCGTCCCAGGGGCGGCGGCGCCGCAGAGAGATCACCCTACGGCGCAGGGAGATCACCCTACGGCGCAGAGAGATCACCCTACGGCGCAGAGAGATCACCCTACGGCGCAGAGAGATCGCCCGACTGGCGCAGAGAGATCACCCAACTGGCGCAGAGAGATCACCCGACTGGCGCAGAGTCGCAGAGAGATCAACCGACACCCATCTGGCGCAGAGAGATCACCCTACTGGACTCTCACTCTCGGCTCTTTCATGATTATTATGGGCCTCCAGGTTTGATAGGGACGCTTCAAAACGTCGTACAGGGCTTAGGTTAAAATGTGACACAACTGCCAGAACCCAACGTTGATATTTTGGTCACTCTAAGAACTCAATGTTGGCCAGTGTGTGCACCAATTCGTCCTCTTGAGGTCCGTACACAGCCCAGTAAGGGCCACACTGGTCACTGAGGAGTGGGAGACCGCCATGTCGTTGAGGACCAGTGTGATGGACTGCTTCATACTACATAGGCCAACCTGGTCACTTTCGAGTTCCTACGCCGGGCCTTTAAGAGCTCTATGTTGACCTGAGCAGTAATCGCCACGCAATTAAAATAAAAAAAGTGGATCGCTATTAACCCTCGCCGGCCGAGGGGCGGGTGCCGCCCCCCCCCCCCCCATAGGGTTTTTTCGCGATAGCTCCGAACTCGCTGGCGATAGGAGCTGAAACTTGGCATAACTGACCTTTGATTCAAGCCGGATCTTTTAAAACCAACCGCATTTTCGGGTCAGGTCAGGTCACTGACCTATGACGTCATAAGTGAACCTCTGCACGGTCTTCAGATGTCGCAACTTCGCAACGCCCTCACTGCCAGAGGAGATGTCACAGGGAAATTAAACTTGCGGATCTACTATCCATTATGAGTCTCACAATTTGTATATCTCGGATTTTTCCTAAAGGTCATATGAGGTCAGGTCATTTTCGTGACCTCACCATTATAAGTCAATGGAGAAAAATGAAAACTGCTATTCTGGCGCTGGGAACGATCTCCAACTATCTCAAGCACACAGAATCGTGATTTGATGCACTCCTTGCAAGGTTAGATGCGTCACTTTTGCAATGTTGACCTTGCGTGACGTCATTTATGACATCATCAAGGTCATATTAGTTTTTCGTCAATAACTCTTGAGCAAATTGAGCTAGCGAGTCGGGAAAGCCACCAATGGACTCAGGAAGACCTGCCGAATCGAATGATATGCGACATAACCTCTTTCGACCAACTTCGTGACCTGGGGGTGCTGACCTGACCTTGACCTGAGGTCAACACCCCAAGTTGACCTGACCCGGACAAAAAGTATGTCATTCGACGCGCCTGAGCGAGGCGAACACGATGCTGCCAAAATCGCGGCTCTGCGGCCGTTTTTTGCGAAGTTATTCACCAAAAACTGAACCGTACCTTGGGGCACTTGACCTGACCTCAGAGGTCACCGGTTGACCGAGGACCTTAAAATCGGGTACCAATCTCTGCGTCTCGTAACGGCGCACATACTCGTTTTTTTCCGCGACGCGCTAGCTCCACCAGGGGCGAAACGGCGAGGGGGGTCTTACCCGTCCCCCCCTCGGCCGGCGCGTATGTACAGTAGGTCTATTAAAAAAGTCCCCAGCACCAGTGGGCGCTGCCTTCGCTGAGCCGAACCCCCGTCTGCCTGTCCCATATCGCGCCGGGCTCAGGTCAGATAGGGTCAGCGGGGCCGCTCGGTCCGGCCCGCGGGCGGTGGACGGGCGGCCGGTAACGCTTTCCGCCAGCCAGCGTAGAATCCAACAAACGGGACGGCCGCCGCTCAGCGCAGCGAAACCGGTGTTGAAGAATGGCAGTAGCTGTTTATGTCTATATGATGTTCATGGTGTTTTTGTTCAAAGCCACAATGATTATGAGAAAGTCATTGTTAGCCCGTGCCCCACAGGAATGCCTATGCACGCCCTGTTGAAGGGAAAATGGGGATTGAGCATCATTCTTATAACTCAGCTTTGGGCATTTAAGTGGCATTCGAAGTAGCGTCAAAAGTAGCAAAAAAAAAGAAGAAATATACTTCAGCCAATTTTAGATCGGGTCAGAGCCAGAGGTCATGTCACCAGAGGTCATCGGTGGTAAAATTTTGCTTGGACAGGGTGCGTTGCGCGCACCGGTGCATTGGGTTTCCAGTTTCCATGGAAACATCAACAGACTCGGGAGCTCGCAACGCTAGCGTGGAGCCGAATTCATATCAACCGCCGCAACAATGCAGCAGCGCAGCGTAGCGTGCTGCAACGCGGGGCCGTGAAACACCGCCCAGGGCTATCCATGTGTCAGGGCAATCCAACCCACGTGATGGGCTCGGCCCCAGCGGAGCACGAGGTCCAGGACTCCCGCCCAGGCCCCCTGTCTCCCCCTAATTCCTGTCGTCCTTCCCACTCTGAAATCGACCGAGCCTAACCTAACACAACAATCAGCTCGTTTACCGCTATGTCTGAATAATATTGTCAGATTTAATAAAGGCGAACGGCTTAGCACGTAAATAACAGCAACTGCCACCATTGGTATTATGAGAAAACCAGTTGCTTTTCCACAAACACAAAAGTTTTTAGCTTAAAACTCGCTTGAAATTAATCTTACCAGCCTCGTGTTCCTCTTATCAAAAAACGCTTCGAATGAATCAAAAGTTGATCTTTTAAATAAAGGTTATTTGAAAAATTTGGCCTATGTTCAAAGACATGACCTGACCAGAAATGGTAATGATGCATAGCAGGATATTAGATTCGTATCGTGGAACTTTACAAACACTTTAGATGATTTCACAACTTGAGCATGTCTATGTATAGTTACTTTTCGGATTATTCTCTGGGATAATAATATCTAACTCACAAGTCCATATATTTCGGATGATGTTGCTCACCCTTGGTCACTGGACAAAATAAAAACAATTACATATATGAAAAACCACGTGGTTAAAAACAAAAAAAAAAACGTGGTTTTTCATATATGTAATTGTTTTTATTTTGTTCAGTGACCAAGGGTGAGCAACATCATCCGAAATATATGGACTTGTGAGTTAGATATTATTATCCCAGAGAATAATCCGAAAAGTAACTATACATAGCTAATTTCCTGGAAAAATGACTAAAACAACATATTAAGCATGTCTATCAAAAATAATTATGACATGGCTCATATATAAGCTGGGTGTGTGATCATGCTTACTAGTATGTTTCCCGCAACTGATAATGTTCTGTTGGCCACAATTTCTATATTTAATTTATTCTCCCGGAGTTCATATTTTTATTAATGACACCTTGACGATGTCGAGAAAAAAACGCTTAGGAGATTTAACAGCCTGAGATACATTCAGTATAAGGAAGGGTGAAGAGTGCTAGATCCCTTCCGTCCTCGCTATCCTCAGGAAAAAACAATCCGTATCGCCCCTAGACTTCATGCTTCCCTCTCTGGACTGGAGGTCACCCCACCAGCCAACCTGTAGTTGATGTCGGATCCATTTAAGGACACATAATCCTGTTCGGGTGACCGTTTGGGAGACGGCTGGACCGTCCCGACAGGGCAATCGTCCCACGGGAACAGTCTCGCTTCCGCAGATCACTGTCGCTGGCTCGCACAGCCCAATTACTACACCAGCATAGTTATGTCATAGCTCTGCAAGGGCCTTTTCAGACTGAAAAAGATGGCTCCCAACAAAACAAACAATTTTCTCATTCAGTATTGTATCCCATCAAGCACCACATGTTTCCGGAGTGTTTATTATGCGTTCCGTCCAAAAAAGCGCAGTTCAATTTTCTCCCATTGACTTGAGCGATCTCAAAATTGACCCGGCCTTTCTGTCAACAATGTCCAACTTGCAAAGTAAACGTTTCAAATACATATAAGTGTTGCCCATTGAAATCGCTGAAAGTTCTAAAGCGATCGGTTAGTCGGTGTATTTAGATATGATGAGCACAGGAACTTTCCTTGAGGTAAGGTTACTTGACGTGACCTGGTGTTATGACCTTGAATTGAAAGACTTGGGCGGGAAAAAATGGGTTATTTGAAATCTGAAAATGCTAGATTTTAACAACAATTGCAAACACTATCCCGGCCAAATAGTGAGTGAGAAGGGAGCGATCCCCCAACCCCATGTTTGGCTCCTATAATTGAGCTAGCTGCTAGAGCCTCGCGGAAAAAAACGAGCGCTTGCTTCGTTACGTGACGCAGCGACTGGTACCCCATTTTAAAATATCAGTGACCTCTTAGGGCAGGTCAAGAGCCCCAAGGCAGTCGATCGGTTTTTGGTAATAAT